GTAAATTTACACTTTAAATATATACAAAAACAAACACAGATATGTTACTGATGCCTTTGTTTTTGGAAACATTAAAGTCGAAAAGCCGACAGTTTAATGCGTCAATATTACCAATGCGGATATTTGTTGTACATATACATAAATACATATTACATACAAATATTATCGTTTTTATACCCTCAACAGTGTGAATTAAGTTTGCAATGAAGTTTGTAACACCCAGAAGGAAACGTCGGAGACTCTTTAAACTAAGTATGTACGTATATAATAGGTCCGCGTGGCAAGCTAAGTCGATTAAGTCATGTCCTTCTATCTGTCTAGTCACTCAGTTTTTGAAATATCGTCTTGAAATTTGTCACACGTTCTTTTCTCACCAATAAGCTGCTCACTTGTCGGAACCACAGATATCGGACCACTATAGCATATAGCTGTCATACAAACTGAACGATCAAAATCAAATTTTGTATGAAAAGCTTTTTCATTTGAAAAGATATCTTCATGAAATTGGGCACAAAATATTTTCCTAAGAAATCCTGCAAACTCAGTAGAAATTGTTCAGATCGGACCACCATAGCATATAGCTGTCATACAAACTGAACGACCAAAATCAAATTCTTCAATGGAAAGCTGTTTTCTTTGAAAATAAATCTTCATGAAATTTAGTACAAATTGTTATCTCAAATAACGCTGCAATCTCAGAAGCAATTGTTCAGATTGGACTACTGTAGCATATAGCTACCATACAAACTGAATTCTTTGTGAAGCTTCGACACAACCGATGTTTATGTCTCTTCTTTTTTTGTGCAGATTAAACATTGTATATGTATTTAGGATTTACCAAATTTAATCAAAGCACATAAAAGTACAGAGTACATTAACTTTTTATTTTTTATTTTTTTTAATTTAATTATTTCTTCAATTTTATTGCAAGCATCTTTACATTTCATTTTTAGTGCTCGCATAAAAATATGCACACACACAAACATAGCATATACACACATAAAATGACTAACTAAAATGTGTATGTATGTGTGTGTATGTTAGGCATATGTGATAACATGGCTATAAAATAGAAAAGTTAAATGTCAAACTTGATTGCTGAAAAACAAGACAAGGAAAAGAAGAAACAAAAATTTCGCAGTAAACAATTCAAGGAAATCAAGAAGCGCACGTCTACGAATATTTCACTTTAATTCACTGCAATTGACTCTGTAATTGAATCACTCAACGGCGCAGAGTTTGCGCAAAAATACGCGTCGCTGAAAGTGAGGCCGAAACAGCGACGCAGAAAACCCCAACGCTGTTATGTGTGAATCATATTTGCAGTTCTACAAGCAGCACCACTCACACACACACGCACAACAGCAACTGTACGCACATTCAATGAGCATTTACCGCACAGCATTGAAGCTCTTTGACCTTTGCCGCTTGCTTGTGGCGTATTTCTTCTAAATTTATACACAATCACTACTTTCCTTACTTTTGTTGTTGTTGTTAAATTTTTTATTTTGCTGTGCGACAATTCAGGCGATTTTTTGCTTCGGTCAATTAATTTATTTCATTTCAGTGATTTTCGTTGCTGCTTGCAAGTGCTTCTAAAAATTTACAAACAGACACATGTACATATATGTATGTATATGCATTTACTTACATACATATATATTTGTGCAAGTATGTGTGTGAGTACTTATCTGCTTATTGCTAATAATCGCTTGAGTTTGTGTCCTTTGTTATAATGTTAATTGTGTTGTCATATTTTGGCACATTTATTTATGCTTTTAATATTTGGCGACAACTTGGCTCACAGCCAACGGTTGGTGCTTTGTTTCTGTGGTTTTGTACAATTATAAATGCATGTATTTGATTTTTATGGTGTTTGAATAATTATAAAAACATAGAGTATATGAGTGGGGGAGCAGGTGGCTCTCTCTTTCATTTCGAGAGATCCAAGTGGGTATCAATATACATGTATGTATATGTATATTAGGGGGATTAAAAAAAAAATTTTTCGTTTGGTACTCTGAAAAATGGGTTCCTAGACACCTCTAAGGAAGCCTCTTAAAAATTGAGTTCTTAATTGTAGTTCCTATTTGAAATTTTCTATTTTTTCTTATTATCATATAAAAAACTTTATATATCGCTTCCAACAACTTGAAAAAATACCTTGTTTCTTAGATTTTGTAGGAAATTGAATGCTCTACAAAAAAGGTTTGTACGATTTTTTCGTAAACCCAACCGTTTAAAAGATATTAGCAGTTAAAGTTTGATTATTTTTGGGAAATTTTTTTATTTCTTATGAATTTTATAACTCAATGAAATAAAATCATTATGAATAATGAAACCCATAGTTTTGTAGAAAATTTACTGCTCTATAAAAATGGCCTCTGATGATTTTTCGATTAAATTAAGCGTTTTCGAGATATTCATCATCAAAAATCAATGTATTAGGGTGAATCAAAAAAGCGATTTTTTTGGAAGCGATATATAAAGTTTTCTATATGATAATAAGAAAAAATAGAAAATTGCAAATAGTATAATTCATTATCACGTAATTTACATCACTAATCATAGTCAGAGGAAAAGACGACAAATAGAACAAATAAAATCACAAATTAGAGTTGTGAAAGAGATCCCAACAATAGGCCCTCTCTATCTACGGCACAATAAACTCTATCAACTATTTCTATAAATTATTATATTTTCTTTGGTTATTTGATTTTTTCTCGAATTAATAGATAATATTATGTTATATCCGTATTCACTCACCCAACATTTTTCACTAACTCACATTTTCTTACAATGGAGCTAACCTCATTCACCATTTCCGATAGCGATTCGAACTCTTCTTTCTAGTGTAAAAAAAAAAAATAAATATGAGGTCAACAACAAAACATACAGTTTCATTCAATACAATTTGGTATACATACATATACCAGTTTTTCGTTCGATCACTTTTCAAAGTTTAGCGAATCCCTCAAAACCATTCGAGAAGAAAAGAAGCGGGGTTGTGAAAGCGAAAACTATAAGAAACGAATAACTTAAAGTCTGCTTTAGGTAAAACACACTACTATTTTTGTAAAGGAATTATAATCTCCCTATCATAAATGTAGAGCTTTTTAAATTCGGGAATATTATATTGTTTTTACTTATTGAATGTGAATAAAATAAGCTAGTAAAAAGACGATTTACAATAATTGAGGATAGAATATATTGAATTTTTAGTACACCTTGATATATTTGATAGATAGAATGATCCAAATAGTGGCACTTTTTTCAATGGTCTCTCTTTGACAGATCACGTGAGAGTCGCGTAAACCTAGCATGTTATCTTTTTTCGGTATTGTATGGCATTTCATCATGGAAAGAACCTGAACAACGTTTACAAATTGTTCAACTTTATTACGAAAATTTCGTTCTGTATAGAATTTGTTTCGCGCGCTTTCCTCAAATTATGGTCACCATAATCGGCCTACTGGGATAGGCCGTAGATAGAGAGGACCTATTGAACACCACCACCCATCTTGCGACTTCAGTATTCATTACTGTATCATATTACAACGAATAGAACACGTCCAGCTCGCAATGAAAAAATATATAGCAACCTTAGCCAAGAGAGTACACGAAGACCGTGCAGAGTCGGTTCCACGCCGTTCGCAGCAAATTGAACTGACATATGGAACGACTTGGCACATTTTACATCGAGATCTTAAATTGAAGGCACACAAAATAGTTCCACAAAGTACCGAAGTTTCCTCCCAAATTTTGTTTTGTGATGAGGCTCATTTCTGGCTCTCTGGGTATCTAAACAAGTAAAATTGCAGCATTTGAAATGAAGATCAACCAGAAGAAATTCAAGATCTGCCATTTCATCAAAATTAACAACGGTTTGGTGTGGTTTGTGGCCTGTGGAATCATCGGTATCTACTTCTTCAAAACTGATGCTCGTTATCGCGCCATGATAATCGACTATTTGATGCCTTCAATTGAAACTCGTGATCCCAGCGAAATTTAGTTTCCAAGACTTCCCACGCATCGCGTCAATCAATGGATCTATTGAGACTACTACACTACGGTGAGCAGATGATTTCACGTTTTTTGCTGGTCGGTTGGCCACATACATCGTGTGATATCACACCGAACGGGTCATCAAAAATTGATCCCAACGGATAAAGTATCTGGGATGTAGCCGCGGCCAACATTTCAAAGAGATAATCTTCACAAATTAATGCCAAAGAATCTTCATTCGAATGACAATAAGCATTGCCTATTAGATTTTGAAGTTTCTGTCTTTTTCTTTAAAAAAGTAGGGAGCCTCAAAATGGATCACCCAATACTTTGTTCATAGGTAGAAATTTTTGTAATGCTCCATTTAATGAGTTGTTTAATTTAATTTAATAATTACCATAACTCATTTCGAAACTGTACAGTTCCAAACCGATTTTTTGCAGTCCCATTATCTAAAGCTAGCTGGCTTTCTAAAAATTATATTTTACAATCTGAGAACACTGTCCAAAGGCTTAAAGCTTTTTGAATATGGGAGCGCGAGATAAAATTGACCGAGCCTTAGGTGATTTATCCATGACCTCTTTTATACATCCTTTTTACGAATGTTTTTCCATTCAATGGTTCTTATACTCTATTGAATAGGAGATAAAAAGTCAAATGTTTTTCAACTCTTTATAGCCACTAGCTTCAAAAAAAAGTTGATATTTTTATGGTCTCAGTGGCTCCCAATTCACTCAAGTTAAAATTTTTTCTCACGGAGATATTTATAAAAAGCCAAAGCCAACATTTGATAGCCTCAATCGAGTAATTTTTCTTTAAAAGCGAATATCGAAGAATTTATCGAGTAATTACGCGCATCGGGCTACTCAATACCTTAGATTTAAAAAATCAAAGATAGGATCACTTTCGAATCAAGCAACGAAACCTTCAAATTAATTTATATCAGTGCATACATACACATCAAATATAAGAATAACAAGAAAATCTCCACTCACCATTTTTCGCTCATAAACAGCCGGTGGTTGTTGCGCGCTTCCATTTCCATAATTATCCCATTCATCCCTAATTACAAAAATAAAAACATATAAATAAATTTGGAAACCAAAATAGAACGAAAGAATTTAATAAAAAAATATATATATATATCATACACCAATACAACAGCTTCGCACCATTCAAACACCCATACACACAATGCTCAATACTTGATCGTCACTCACCTCTCCATGCGTTGAATGACCGGCATTTGCGCTGTGCTGTCATGTATGCGCACTTGATCAGGTGTGATCTCCTCTACGAAGAGATTACGATTCGCCGGCACTGTGGCAAAGCTATTGCTGCTGCCATCTAAGAAGATCGGACTTAATGGGCGACACGAACCACCTAAAAGCTCATCAATGTTCTGGTGACGTGAAATGAAGAGCTTTTCACCACACACACTCTTACCATATGGTGTGTAGTAATCAGCTGCTTGTTGTGACTGCTGTTGTTGTTGCTGCTGGTGATAGTAAGGTGGTTGTGGTGAGTTGGCGGCCGCTGCTGCGTTCGACTGCTGCTGAACGTATTGGGGCTGATAGTAGTGATTCACTTGAACTTTCGCCATTGGAATGTTATCGTAAGGGGATTTGCACTGATTTAGATTGCGCGTTGGTGTTTGTTTGAGTGGCAGCTGTTGTGGCAGTTCTTGCTCAAGGTCGATGGGGCTGGCGCATTGTCCCAACGGCGGTGGTCGCTCTGAATATTCGAAATTGAACGAATTACTTAGTTCGGTGCCAAAAGTTTGTTGTTGCGAACCAGTTAGCTGACCGTTATTGATCCGCCGCACTTCTATATCGGCGCGATCTACTCTATCTTCACCGACCGCTACCGTATCTCCATTCGGTATCTGTCCATTTTGTGTGTGCGTCACTTGCTCTTCGTCGTCTTGCAGCCACCAGGCTTTTTCCGTCGAATCACTGCGGTAGATACGTGACCGTACCGGTGCATGTGCATACGGTTCATCCGCCGGCTCATCGTTCTTTTGCCACCACAATGTTTCATTGGACTTATCGCGCACTATATTTGCGTTTGCCGTTTGTCTTTGTGCTTCTTTGTTATTTGACTCATCCTCATCATTTTGTTGCCACCAAGCTTTCTCGCCTGACTCCACGCGTCGCACAGTGAACTGTTTCTTCATGGGTCCAGACATCCACCAGGGCTTATCATCGCTTACATTGTTACTGCCGCTACTAGTTGAGCGCTCTACAGTCTGCGATTTACGTGCCGGTAACTTGATGGTGGCCTCAACGACTGCCTCTTCCTCTGTATGCTTTTGCTCCTTGTCGCCTTCACTCGACCACCTAGGTTGCTCGCCGGACTCCACACGGCAAATCTTCAATTGTATTGTACCATTTTGTTTCGTTGCGCTATTCGATTTTTCCAAGCATTCGTTACTCTTACTATCGTCTTTACTATTTTCATTTGAGTCACCCCACCAGGGCTTTTCTGGCGTGCAGTGACTTCTTGCGATTTGTTTACTATCACCATTCACTTTGTAATAGGACGCACTTGTTCGCCCATCACTACAATTCGTTTCATTTTGATCATTTTCATTATGCGCTCCAACCGCCTCCGTCTCTTCCTGCTCATTGTTGTTATCACTCGTCCACCAGCTGTACTTAGCCTGCGATGATGTGTTATTATGCTCATCCGAATGGTTGGTTAATGATTGTGTGGGCGCTGTAGTGGCTTCACTGTGATCTTCCTCTTCCTGATTGAGTGTTTTCAAATCGACGTCGGCCAAAGTGTCATCGTCGTCGTTACGTAACCACCAGGCAGTCTCACCAGAGTCGATGTGTCTCAACTTGAAACGCATATCGTCCTTTTGTTGACAACCTAAAGCAGATGCTGTATCTATCTGTCGACTTGTATGTTGCCACCAACTCGATTCGTCTTGCTCTTCCTCGGACGTAGTGGCCGTAGTAGTGTAGGAATCTGTTACCGCTTCACTGGTGATCGCCGCCGTGTCGGTGACTGTTGTTTCGTGCGGGAAATGTGTACTACTAGATTTTGTTGACTTTGTAGACTTGCTACAATCTGGGGTTGCGTTGCTATTTTTCGTCAGACTTAGTGGACTTCTCGCAGACGTCGATGTCTTATCCTCAAAACTGTTGAGGCTCGTATCGTCACAGTTACGTTTGGACGTCGCTGTTTTTGGTTCTAATTCAGCTACTGTAATCACTTTTGCTGATACTGCTTCCGTACGTGCAGGATCAGTCGTTGTCGTTGTCGTTGTGGTCGCGTTATTCGTTGGCGATGTGTTCGATTTGCTTGCTGCCGTAAGACTGCTGCCAATTAGCTGACCCGTCTCTGAATCGCCCCCCGAATTGTCGGAGCTTTCAATGAAAATCGGTTCGCTATTTGCATCGCTCTGACGAGCAACAAAAAAATTCGATACAGACGACAATCTTTGCAATCGGTTGGAAGACTTCTCTTGCGAGCTGGCGAGTGGCGATCTCGAATTTGTGCGCGATGATTCAACAGACTCTGCCGCGGGCGTATCATTTGTACTTAGCAGCGCTGGTGGTTGCTGTGTCGCCTTGCTATTTTCATCTATTCTTCGCTTCGACGACGAATCATTAGAATCACCTGTGTTGGTTGTCGCACACTTTGTCACACCCGAATTATTGGCTGTGTGATCTTTATTGTGGGTGTTGGCATTCTTCTTCTTGCCTTGCTTTTTGTTTGTTTTTCTCAGCTCGCTCGAGCTCTCCGCGCCACTCGATGACGAGGCAGTGGTTGTTGAGCTGGTCGCAGTAGTGGAAGACGTTGACGGTGTGCATGATTTATGTGCACTATTTTTTAAATTATTATTGCTATTGTGACGACTTAATGATGACGAGGAAGACTTTTTGGCATGACAGCGTGGTCGTGTCTTATTATCACCTGTCGTACTGCTACGTCTACTCGAGGCAGCCGACACATTGCTCACCTCGGAACCAGCGCTAGGCGAACGCTCTTTACGCTGTGCCAAACCATTCGCCAAATCATTGTGTGCTTGTTGTACTGGATCTGAGTCTGTGCCGCTACTGGGCGTACGTGACTTACGTGGACGGTCGGTGGGTCCAACATTCAAAGCTGATTTTCGAAAGTCTTTATTTGGTAGCTTTGTGGGCACATGCGTACTGCTGGAGCTACTTTTAGTTGGCGATTCAGCCTTCGGCGGTGCAGGTGGCTTATTAGCATTTGTGGTGGCAGTGAGATTTTCGACGGATGATTGTCTGGAGCTGATACGCACAACTTTAGGTGGCGATAATTTGGATTTGCTACTGGCGTTTGAGCGTGTACTTTTTGTTGTAGTGTCCTTCTTGGGTTCTGCGCTATTGGTACTGGAAGCATTCGACGCGGAAGACTTTGAGACGGACGACAGCGGACTGTTACTATAACGTAAATTTGTCGACGAATATCGACTTTCCGTGTGCGGACTGTAAGATGGCACTCGACTACTCAAACCGAAACGTGAATATCGTGTCGAATCATCGAGTCGGTCAGATTGTATTTCCTTCTCTAAAGTTTTACGCTTGCGTGTCGATCGTTGTATAGTCTTTTCAATGGTTTTTGCAATATCCATGCGTCGCGTTCTTTGTACTGTTGTTGCGCTGCCGGGTGGCGTCGGCGATGTGGCTCTGGTGACCACCGAAACAGCGACAAACGTTTCCTCTTCCTCCTCTTCTGCGCTGCTACTTTCACTTTCACTCTTTTCCACCACCGTTGCTGGCTGCACGGACTCCTCGTCTTCGATCTCCTTCTCGTTGGACTTCCTCGCTGCGGTTTCCCGCGCACGACTTACCGAACGCGCATGAAAGTCACTGGCAGTTAGATATGAAATAGATTTATCCGGTGGTATTGTAGGCGCCACACTGGATGCGCGTCCTACAGTAGCACCGCTACCATACCTCGAATTGTAACTACTACTGCTGGTGGATTTTGGAGTGGACATGCGGTACGAATTCAGACCACCATAACCAATCTTACAACTAGTGTCGACTACGGGACTCGGATCTCTTGACTTGCCACGTAGTGCACGCGAAACTGGGCTTGGCTCTCGACTGCGCATGCGATTTGTAATTTCCAGTGCTGCTGGGCTTGGTTCGCGTGATGAGCCATATTTATTGAGATTACTAGTGGTTGATGTTGTATAACGCTTAAGTTGACTAGATTTTGTGCCATTGAGGTCGGCAGTAGAATCCACTACCGGTGTGTTGCGACTCGTTACACTTGGTGTGTAGCGACTTGTGTACGAGGGTGTTTGTAGGCTTGAAGGTGGATCCCGTTTTATGCGATATGTACCGCCAGCGAAAGATGGTCGATATGTGCTGGGTGAAGATAGAGATGTGTAGCGTGAACTGCCAATATCATCGCGGGAGGAGTACTGAAATTATAATTATATGAGGGTAATGAGTAAAAGCCAAAAAAATAAAAAAGTAAAGAGTTTACTTAGCTGTTTTGGTAAGAATCATGTTTCGAAAACTTACTAAAAACAACTGAAATCATATATGACAACGTTAGTACCTATTAGTTCTATATTCCGTGGTTTCTCTCTTTACGAAATAAATTAAATAAAGCTCCCTCCCCCTACCTCAAGCCGTTATAGAAACTTTGAAAAGATGGTAGTTGCAGTCTTCAGATAGTTATTTGTGAACTAGAAAATTGACTCGTATTGACTTTGTCACGAAGTTTGTAACATTTAGAAAGATACGTCGGAGACTCCATATACATAAATATGACCATGACTGTCTGTCTACCTGTCCATCCGTCTGTCAGCATTTACGTGAACTAGTCCCTCAGTTTTCAAAACCGGGGCATACTCTTGTAGAACCCTCCGAAGTGATCTAGTGCCAAAGTCTCAGAGCTTACTAAGCTTATGGACGGAACACTGCTGAATGACAGTGAAAGCATAAAATCATGAGATGGTAAACCCGATTTCACAATCGATACCGATGGAACAGACGTTCCCTTGCCCGACCATGAAGAAGTTCGAATAACCATTGCTCGTCTGAAGAAGCTACAGCGGCCGATGGATTGCCGGCCGAGCTATTCCAATACAGCAGCACAGAACTGAGAAGGAGCAGGCATCAGCTTCTTAGCAGTCTGACTAAACTGCGCTGACTATCGTAGTATAAGCCTCCTCACCATCACATATGAGATTCTATCGAGCGTACTGTGGGAAAGATCTAACTAATTGGACCTTATCAGTGTGGCTTAAAACCTGGATGCAACTGACCAGATATGACTGAAAAGACCCGTGAAAACAGAGTCGACATGCAACGCCTATTTGTTGATTTCGAAGCTGCCGCTATTCCCGCAAAACTAATACGTCTGTGTAACGACGTTACGAATTTTCGAGAGAAAGATTCTGCGGAAGACTTATGGACCTTTGCGCATTAGCCACGGCGAATAATGCACTCGATGGAATTTTGAACTGTATGACTTATATGACGCTATTGACATAGTTCAGCGAATACGGTGGCTAGGTTGTGCCGTCCGAATGAACGAAAACACTTCAGATATGAAAGTACTCGACGCTGTACCTGAGGGGGGAAGAGGGAGACCTCCACTCCGTAGGAAATACCAGGAGAAAGAGGACCTGGCTTCGCTTGGAATCACCAACTGACGCCACGTAGTGAAAAGAAGAAACGATTGGCGCGCTGTTGTAAGATACACAATGTCAACCAGAGGATCGGAATACCATAATTACTTAAATAATAAATTATAAATAGGTGAAATTGCAAAACGGGTAGTACAGTATAAAGATTCATATAACTTAGAAATAAGAAAATAGAGAAGAGTTGGCACATGTTCAAAATTACAACCTCGTTTATAGCAACATGTGCTTCAAACTCAACAGATTTTCCTTATTATTAAAAAATAGTACTTACCGCACTGGATCCACTCGGCTTATAGGACGACCCCAAACTAGTTTTCCATGGCGTCTATAAAGAGAAAGAAAAATTTTGAAACGCATAAGAAGATGAAATTAATAAATTCATATAGCAAACGTGCATGCGTGCCATTGTCTAAATTAATGAGAAAAATCTGCTAAAGTGCCGACCTGCCACACAAAGAAATCACACATCCCGCGCCACAATTGCGCCATAAATAATAATTAATGGTATGTTCACAATGACATGAAATCAATTAAACACTTGACGAACAAACATGCCATGTATGTATGAATAAGCATGTGGCATACCACAACATGCAACATATTGCACTGCTGCAAGTTGCATGGAAGTTGGTGCGCCCCAAAAAAAGAACCAAATCAAATGCATAAAAATCATTCAGAGATTTCTATAAAGACACAGAGTCATAGATATATTTAGGTATATACATGCATACTTATACACATATACACCAATTTTCATGCTGTATTTGCCAAAAATATGTAAATTACTCCGCGAGCTATCGGTAAAAGGGGCATAAATGGCTTTCCATTCTTGCGCCCGCTCGTCACTTCTTTGTTTGTGCATACTTTCAGTATATATCTACATATATACACATAACCACTAACGTGTGGATCCCTACATAGTTCACATATGCTGGTGTATGTTTGTGTATGCTTTACGAATGCTTTCTTTGTCGACTCCGCGCCATTAAATGCACTAGTTGTCGGTACGGTGTTTTACCTCAGTGAGTTTTTCAATTAATTTCGGATGTGTAAACAGATTCATTTCGATTATTTCAACATCTGCAAGATTATAATTGGCACTGACTTCACTTCGAGTGTGCGGACAGATCAGCATAAAGATTCAGTGGTACCAAAATATACTTGAACATTAGGGAGCAACAATTATTTGAATACGAAATGAATTTTAATGAATATTTTTAAAATTAAAAAAAGAAATTTTTCCTTCAAATACTTTATGATTTTATAAATTTTTTTTTTTAAGGGTGAAACATTTCTCATCGGCAAGGCAATTATTTTTTATGAAATTATTCAGAGAATTATTTTTCTATAGTTAAAGACAATGAGTTCGTTTAGTCATAATTTTTGATCAGTTCATTAGGGAAATTTGATTTTTTTGCAGGTTCTGTCGTCACAGCAACGGTATGTGCCACTTGCATATCACTAAAATCTCCCTTTAAGGAACCATCCCCACCCTGGGATCTTCGCTTCGTAACATTCACCTGGGACGAAAAAGGTTTCATGACAAAATTTTGAAAAATGTTTCACCCCAACGTCCATTTCTAATGAGTCATGACCTAAACAGCGAATAGACAGAAATTTTTAAACCGACCAATTAACAATATCCAAGGTGATTCCGAGAAATTTTCGAGAGCTTTGTGGTATTTTTTTTTTAGTATTTTCTGCAAAAGTGTATCGTTTATTTTATTCATATTGTTATACTATCAGAAAGCAGATATTTCAAAAAACAGCAAATATACTGACTTCTTAAAAAAGTCTGATCTTGAACGTATGAATCTTTGATTAAAAATTGTGTGTTTTTCTAATCGATTTTAAAGTTTCCTCTTTAACATTTTAAATAAAAAAATACGTTATGTTTCGTAAATAAGAAGCTAAGCATATTCAAAATTTCTTTTAAAAAATGCAGGACTTAAACCCTTGAAAATTCAAAAGCGCCCCCCCTTTCCATTTTCGGATCACAGATTGTCCGAAAATTATTTTTTCTTTAATCTTTAATTTTTAATATTTTACCTCTCGTTTCCAAGTGGTTCGAAACTCGGCTTTGGAGGTTGTTGGAGATCGTTTAAGATTTTTTTCCCACCTTTTTCTCTTTTAAAGATGGAAAGCCTTCTTTTACATTTTTTTGAGACAAATTTCAAAGCGGTAATTTCTTTTTCTTTTATACAATTATTATATGATATAGAAATTAAACAAAAATACTTAGAGGTATAAATTCCACAAGTTATCAATAATTTGTTCCATTTCAAAGTATTTAAAAAAATTACCGCACCCTAATGTCATTCCACCAGGAATCAAGCTAAATATTTAGTGTATATTTAGATCTAAGCTCATAACATTTTTACAAGTAAATACATTTTTTTTTTTTTTTTTTGTCTGTGTTGATTCGGTGCTTTTTGTCAAATGTGCAACATATCTCTGCAATCGAAATCGAAATAGAAGCATTTACTTGAAAAACTTGAAGCGCTAGATAATATGTGAGCACAACTACTTGTTCCATCTATTCTTGGTAAACAACTTTCCACACAGAAAATATACTTCAGTATAAAGATATGATTGTATTGCACACAGAATACGAAATACCAAAGCAAAATTTCAAAAATAGTCCAGCTGAGCCTATTTTTATGTCGGACTGCCATTGAGACGTTGACATTTACCACATCTTAGCAATAAATACTTACATATATACATATGTATGTACACACGGTACTTTGATAAAAATATTCACATTTATTTGTTGGCGTTTAGTTTATTTATTTTCCACATTGGAGCCTCAGCCGTCGCCTTATGTTGTTGGTCGGCCGTTTGCAACCAATACATGGCCCGGTCCTCCAGCCTATGTCGCCACTACCGGCGTTCATTTGCGGCATATGGAAGAAATCACTTTCGCATCACTTTGGAATTCGCGATTTTTAATTGCTTTAGTGTTCCAGACTGATTGAAGTGTGTCTACTGTGTCTTTGTCTTACATATCCCTGAAATTGCATATATTATTTATTATTCTTGTCACATTTTTCTGAATACGCCTCGGATATAAAATAGTAAAACCATTTTGAGTAAGAAGAAAGCAAATGCAAGAAAATGTATTGCAGATTACCACATCCGACGATTTAAAGGATATAAGCTCATATTATAGTTAGCTGGATTCACCAAGAACTCACAAACGAAACTATTTCACGTCTTGGCGTTAAGCTGAACTCCTCAATAATATAATACTAGAAGCCGTTAGAGTACTTGATAGCATTACCGAAACATATAATTTTTGATCCCTAAAAGAGTTCTGAACTAAGGGCACCCACCAGAGGAGGAATACCACATTAAAAGAGATCCATAAATTGTCACCAACATGCTCGTCTATCGATCTGTATATTTGAATCCAAACCACTTTCTAATATCCTTGCCAATCGTCTCAATAAACGGTATACACGAATATCCGAGGTAATGCTCTATATTTGGTTATATGAAAAGGGCGTATTATAATAAGAGCTTCCAAAACTGTCTAAAACTAAAGGGCAATCCATTTCGAGTATCTCTTAAAGAAAAAAACACAACTTCAAAATTCAATGTAAATGTTTATTATCATTCTAAAAAACATTCTTTAGAATTAATTTTTTGGAGGCTATCTTTTTCAAATGTTGGCCGCGGCTATGTCTCAGCTGAGCTATCCGCTTAGTCCGGCCAATCGACAGGCCCAAAACGTGAAATTATCAGCTCACCCGAGTATTCTCTCAATAAATCTATTTATTCTTCTTCAAACAAAATGTCGGCAAGATCTCGAGCTACAATTTCAGGCATCAAATAATCGGTTATCATGGCGCGATAACGGTCGCCATTGACGGTTACATTCTCAACGGCATGATGTTTGAAAAAAAAAAAATATGGACCGATGATTCTACCGGCCCAAATACCACACTAAACCGTTGTTTTTCTGGAAGTAATAGCAGCCCTTGAATCTCTTTAGGTTGCTAGGATACCAATTGTGTATAGTACAAACTGGAAATACTTTGAAAATTTATTGTTATTTGAGATGTTTCGTCCCAAACCACAGGTTTTCTGATAATGTACATACATACATAAATAGTTAACGTTACTTCAGGGATAAATGTGCTCCAAAGTAAACAGTACTTTTTGAATCTAACGCCCCATGGTGGCGCCATATGTCGACTAGTGCGTTAGAATCTGTTATCTTTATCGATTGCCCAGTGATATTTTCTCGAAATTCATCAATTGGAAGTGAAGTTTTTGCATTTTAAGTGTCAGTATGTTTGTTTTATCGGTGCGAAAATGAGCTTCAAATAAAGAGTCAACATTGAATTTTGTTTTAAAATTGGTAAAACTTTTACCGAAACGTTGATGAAACAAGTTTATGGCGATAATTGCCGTAGGAGAGTGCACGAGTGGTTTCAACGTTTTCAAAGTGGTCGTGCGGACATAAATGACGATCTGCATGTGGGCCAATCAATCCGTGATCACTGGAAATTCCATCGAAACTGTGCGTGAATTCATCAAAAGTCAGCTGAAATCATAATTGAAATTCATGGAAATAGAATTGAACATTGCCAAACCATCGATTTATCGCATTTTGCCCGAAAATGTGGGCTTAAGAAGGGTGTGTGCACGGTTTGTTCCGCACAAATTGACTAACGACCAAAACTTGTTCAGAATCTAACATTGCATCAACGCTTTTGACCGATTATTTGACCAAAAATCAAATTGTAACCATTTGCCCATGAAAAGAAAGCGTTTTGCACCGGCGTACCGCCCAACAAGCTAAAATACTCGTTCGAAATGCTTTTGGACCGTGCAAAAAACTGTATTGAAGCAAAAGAAGGCTACTTTGAATAAAATTAATTGATTTTGCTGGAAAAACCATTTGTTCTGTTTTTTTTTTTTACTTTTAACTTTGGAACGCGCTTGTATATAGGAAGTAAACGTACTCCTTGCCAAGATTAGACTGAAAAAAACAATGTTTTTGGAAACATAATAAAATTATGTTTTGGTTTTGGTTATAGATATGACTGTATTTTTAATCGAAGCGTTCATTAAGCTGATATTGTGGTAAAAACAAACTAAAACCCAAATGTTTTCCTCATTAGCAAAAAATTAGGCGAAAGTGTGAAAATTTTACCCATTGACATATTTGGGCCAAAGAACTGAAAGACAGCTCTTCATCTTTACTTAGCCTTTAGCAAAAAAAAACTTGCGGTCTAAATTGAAAAGAAAACACAGAACCCTAACTGAAACATAATTATAAAAGAGTCCTTCATTTCATAATAAAAAAAAAAGTAA